TCCTAAGATTCTGACCCAATAAAAACCAGACGCTGCCTCTTTTGTGTAAGTACTTCCTTGATGTTGGATCCAAAATAGATTGGTTTGTATTGGCTACCAACTGCTTCCATGGGCAGGAAAAATATGCCCATGTGTTCTCTGGCAATAGAAGACAAATAAATTATTTGTACACCAGCAAAACATATTTTCTAAAAAAACTGAAAGTAAATTATTCTTATGTGTAAGGTATTAAATAGTTTAACACTCACCTTTATATCTTACTTAGATCCATAATCAATCCCTTAATGCCAACAGTCAAGAGATCAGGAATTGTATTGCACTGGGAAAGTTTGCAGTCAGGGGCTTCTCCAAATTACTGAGGAGGAATGATGTCAGTTTGAAGACTAAGGTGCGCGTGATTCAGGCCATGGCTCTTTTCTATACCTGCTATGCATCTAAGAGCTGGATAATGAATAACAATGAAAGAATAATAATTGATGCCTTTGAGCTATGTCTTGGGGGAAGAGGACTGACATCCCATGGACTGCCAAGAGAACAAACAGGTATGTCTTGGAAAAGTGCTGCCACAGTGCTCCTTGAAGGCAAGGATGGCAAAGCTTTATCTTACATAATGGTTCCCCATGGTGGACAGTGTTCGGTGGTGCTCCCCGATTAAAACAAGCTTGGAAGCAGGTGTGGCATTCACTTTGTAATAGCTTGCCTCTGGAAACCCTGTGAACGTGGAGAGAGGATGAAAGACACACAAGCATTGAGGACTTTTGTTCATAGGGTCGCTATGAGTCACCTAAGACTCAACGGCACTTAACAATATCAACATAGAGAGAGATCAGATGGCCTAGTGGACAGAAAGTGATGCTACCAAGCCAAAGGTGGGTGACTTTTAATCCACAGCCCTTGGGCTTAGTTTCCATTGTTTTTAGTCAAACATTCTTCTAGGTCTTATAGCCCTAGTGTATCTATTTGCCGTACAGAGGTAACTTGTGGTTGCTGTGAAGCTGAACACTGTGACATTGATGGGTCATGCATTAATGGCTCTCCATGGTGGACAGTGTTTGGTGTGGCACTCCGATTAAAACAAGCTTGGAAGCAGGAGCAGCATCCACGTCCATAATAGCTTGCCTCCTGAAACCCTATGAACCTGGAGAGAGGATGAGAAGTCACCCAAGTGTTGAGGACTTTCATTCATAGGGTCACTGTGAGTCACCTACAACTCAACACTTAACAACAAGTAGGAGAGGCTATTCCTTAAAAAGGGCCATGATGCCTGGAAAGTTCAAGGAGGGCCTGCAATGGACTCATGTGTATCAGATGATGAGGATGGCACAATAGGACAGGATTCATGTCTCTTCAGAGGGTCACTATGAGTTGTTTCAACACCTAACAACATTAAAAAAATGGTTAAACTTGTCACGTACGTGTGTATGTGTGTGTACTCTTCGTAGCTAGTTGGTAGAGAACTGTGCTGCCAACAAAAAGGGAGGTGGTTTGAATCCACCAACTGCTCTATAAGAGAAAGATGGGCAATCTCCTCTCACAGGATTTACAGCCTCTGAAAACCTGCTGGAGTCAGCTATGACTTGGCATGTTTGTGTGTATGTATCTATCTATGATGGTACATAATTATATATATAGTTCTGTGCCCATCTCTCTCCCATGGAGCAACAGGTAGATTTGAACTGCTTGCCTTTGGGTTGACAGTGCAACTCTTACTACTAGGCCATCAGAGCTGTATGTAATTGTGTCTACATGTGTGTATCCACCTAGAAATTAGATTTCCAAGGAAGATCTTAAAATTTCTGAAGATTCGCTATTTGTTGTTGTTGTTATGTGCTGTCGAGTTGTTTCCGACTCATAGCGACCCTATGCACAACAGCCCTAAACCCTGCTCTGTCCTGCGCCAAACGCACCACCTCTGACACACCCATCCCAATTACCCCAGTCACCGAATCAATCCATCTCATAGAGGGTCTTCCCCTCCTGCGCTGTCCCTCAACCCTCCCAAGCATGATGTCCCTCTCCAAGGACCCGTCCCTCCTGGCAACATGTCCAAAGTATGTCAGACGAAGCCCCAGAATCCTTGCCTCCAAGGAATAGCTTGGTTTAATCCTCTCCAAGATAAATCTGTTTGTTTTCCTGGCAGTCCATGGTACATTCAGTACCCTTCTCCAGCACCATAGCTCAAAAGCATCCACTCTCCTTCTGTCCTCCCTAGTCATTGTCCAACTCTCTGATGCATAACAAGCGATTGCAAATACCATGGCCTGTATCAGGCGCACCGTAGTCTCCAGAGAGACACTGTTGCTCCTGAGTACTTTAGAGAGGTCCTTAACAGCAGACTTTCCCATCGCGATACGCTTTTTTATTTCCTGACTGCTGGTGCCAAGAGTGTTGACTGTGCAGCCGAGCAAACTGAAGCTGTGAACAATCTCAATCTCTTCATCATCCATCCTGACGCTGCCAATTGGTCCAGTGGTGAGAATCTTTGTCTTCTTGACATTGAGCCTCAGTCCATAGTGAAGGCTGCAGTCCTTGACCCTTCGCAGCAAGTGCATGAGGTCCTCCTCAGTTTCAGCAAGCAGGGTTGTGTCATCTGCATAAGAGATTGTTAACAGACCTTCCACCAATCCTGATGCCACAATTCTCCTCATAGAGCCCAGCCTCTCGGATAATCTGCTCTGCATACATGTTGAAAAGGTATGGAGACAGGATGCATCCCTGGCGTACACCCTTCCCAATTTTGAATCATGCAGTGTTACCCTGCTCTGTTGTGACTACTGCCTCTTGGTCCAAGTATAGGTTTCGCATTAGCACAATTAAATGTTCTGGGATTCCCATTCTTCTCAGAGTCAGCCACAGTTTGTTATGATCCACACAGTCAAATGCCTTTGCATAATCAATGAAACACACATTCTTCTGGTATTCTCTGCTTTCAGCCAAGATCCATCTAACATCAGCAACAATATCCCTAGTACCACGACCCCTTCTAAACCCAGCCTGGACTTCTGACAGTTCTCTGCTATGAAAGATAATATGCTATATGCAAAAATTCTAAAGTCATTTGTTAAGAAACAACTGCTATGTCATGTGGGATTGAAATTGCTCCCTCATGATTTTTCTTCCTTTAAAGGAAAGCCACATTTATTATTGCGCACTCATCCTTTATTAGAGGTTTCCATATTGTTCCAGACTTAACCCAAAATATAGAGGAGAAAATAATTTTTCCAGCTAAACAGGTAGTTACTAGCAACCAAGAAACTAAAACCAGGAGGAAAACACCCCTTCATAAGACCAGCACGCCAGCTGTGATCCCGGGAAAGAGCTCAGTGCCCAGAAGACTCCCCCCAACCTCCACCTCTTGGCAAACCGTTCAGCTCTGAGCTTGTAGTGGGGAACGGAGCCAAATCACTCCGAGATCAAACAGAAGTTGGGGCTGGAGGAGCATCCCTTAACCCACAGATGTCCCCAGGCTGCTTTCCCTTTTGTCCACACCTCAAGGGGCATCCTTGACTCTCCTTCCCCTTAACTGCTGCCTTCAGAAGGCAGGACTTCTGTGGAAGAGGCCAAGAATGGGCACTGACATCAAAGCTAATTGGAAAAACTACTCCAGAGGAAATAAAAGGAGGAGGGGGGCCAGGTTTATAGACAGAACAACTGGTTCAAACAACTAATTCTACTCAGTATTTTTTAGTTTTTTTAGTATAAGAAATGTAGAGGAGCCAAACGGGGGGAAGGGTTGGATGAGTTTTGGCCAAGTTTCAGTTGTCAGGTTTGTTTCATAACTATGTTGCTGGTTCCTTGCTTGGTACAAATGGCTCAAAGATAGGCCTGGCTTCCAAATGATCACCACCCTCTAAACTTTGTGGAGGGAGCAGTTCTCCTCTGCACACAGAGGGTCTCCTCTCCTGACTGACTCAGCATGGATCTATGCGCTTTGTTTCATCCCAAGATCCAGAAGAGCTTGCCAATGTACTGCTACAACTTTTTTGAAAAAAGTATCCCTCTCTGGTCATCTCTTACCCTATTTTGTTAGTTTTCTTAGTTAACCTTCAAAGATGACGATGGCAGCTGTAGACCGTTTTAACTATTTGGTTCTCACATACTAAGAAACCTCAGAGAGATAATTTTCAAATGAAGTTCTGGCCACAGCTGAACATGAAACCTTTATAACAAGTAGGTCCCCTAAACATAATCGACTCTCCCCCAGCCTTCTGTTCAAGTTTAAGCCTAAATGAAGAGAAATTGGAGAGGTTCCAGAGGATAGTAATGAAAATGATTAAAGGACCAATGATGAAAGGTTCAAGGAATTGGGATTACTTAGCCTGAAGAAAAATTTGAGGGGTGATTTAATGGCAATCTTCAAGTACAGTATGTGGAGGTTATTACAAGTATGGTAGCCAGCTGTTCCCCAGCTGTGTTGAAGGTCGAAAAAGAGAAACAACTAGAATTTGAACAAGAGAGATTTTAGATTAGTGGTATCAATGGATCTCAAACTAGCTCATGAGATGGAATACCACTGTTAGACCCTGAAATGATGTAAGCGTAATATAGTTCTGCCCCATCAGACACCAACTTGTATACTAGTACAGTTAAAATTTAGGACCATGGAATACAACTCCTAATTGGGAAAACACTGTCACTAGTTAAAAACTTCCTTCAGCAGTGGACACCATGATTTGAGAACAAATGCACAAGGAAGATACAATGGACATGCACACTTATTATGGTGAACGTGGCGAGCTGACACCTAGGTCCACCAGGATCTTGAAATGCTCTTTACCCTGTAACAGGAAGTGCACGACAAGCCACACTAGTACTTCTGAGGATCCTCGTGTTGAGGGGAGTCTTCCGTACAAGTGTCAGCCTGTGCCTTTCTGAGGGCGGCATCAGGAGAGCTTCTCCGACAAGATGCTCTCTTGCCATCTAGCCCGGGCCTTGGTCTGTGCATGTAGTTCCCATTACCTGAGTGGATGTGGCCAAGAATATCACTCTTAATAAAAATAAAATTACTTTTTAAAAATGTTTTATTACAAAGCTTCCTTTAAAAAATGCTCAGCACATTAACTCAAACTGGAATGACAAACGTTAGAGGACAGTTTTGGGCAAAGGCTGTGCCTTGATATTTAAAAAAAAAATGGGTACATCAATGCTCATTTTAACAACTGGCATAAAAATCCCACTAATCGGCTAATAAAAACAGATACAAATACAGAACATTTAAAGTAATAACAATTCAAGTGCTGGGCTTTTTACAAGGGGTAAGAAGGAAAGAAATGAAAATTCACTGCAAACCAGTCAGCTGGGAGTATCTGTTAAGGTTTATCTTTTTTAAAAAAAAGAAAACAAAATCAAGAGAAATACAAAGTGAAACAGGACTGCCATTGCTACCATCAGAGTGGGTTTGGCTGTTCCACTTACTCAGCTCTACAGGACACCTGACAAAGACGGAGAGGCCACTATTCCGTTACAGAAAATTCACGAGAAGCCACTTACCAGACATGGTTTCAGGTAAAGGGCTTCTTTTTATTTCAACCATTTCTGGATCTTTGAATTTTACTTAAATGCTCACAGCTAGCAAAATATACAAGAAAATGAAAACTAAAAGTGTAAATTTTTTTTTAAAAATTCAAGTTTAAAAAAAAGAAGCAAACATAAGATTGATCCTTTTGCACTGTTAAATAAAGCTTTGAGAGAAAGGAAGAGAAAGAAACGAAGACAGTAACAAAGAAGGAACTCTTCCACAAATTCCTTGGCTGGGATGCTGATGGACGGACATGCTGGTGGCTGGCTCCAGGTGCTGGCGCTGACGGCAGGCAAGCACAGCCAGGTTTACTGTCCTTGCCGAAAGGTTAACAGTTACCGCTGCAAGATGCTCTGGGAAGTTCCTGGCAGAGATGGGGGCGGCGAGCGTCTGAGCTGACCCAGAGCCTGCTAGCATTCTTGTATACTATCTAATTTGCTTTTTTAAAAACTTATTCTTGTTTGTTTGATTTTGGAACTTGGCTCTTGCCATGGATGAGAGAGGATTTGGCAGTGATTGTCTATGGACCAGCGTCTCCAGCAGCGACCTCTGGATGAAGTTGGTGTCAGTTCTCCTCTGGGGTCGGCTGCTCAAGCCATGGAGACAGTCTGGGTTTTCAACAAGCTTCCATCTCCAGAAGAGGTCCCGGGGTCGCTGCCTTGGCTTTGCACGTTGGGAATGAGTTTCGTTTTCCACCTCAAGAAGGAACAGATAAATTGCTATTAATATCAATTTCTCACACTCCTTTCAAAGATTTTAGTTCTCTTATGCACAGAATGTCTTAAAATGGGTGAATTAATCAATCTACTCTGACTTTATAAGTGGCTCAGTGGATTGCTCCATGGAAGCCCAGTCTTAAGAATACATAAGAAGCATTTGGTTCCATATATATATGTGTGTAGATACGTATAGAGAAGATTATGATGTAAAAATATTTAATATTGTGAATCATGTAAAAAAAGGTAGGTCAGGGGGCTTGAAAAATACCAACAGCAATGCTAAACTTGACTGGAGAAAGGCAATGACCAGATCAAAAAAAGGCTCGCCAGCATTAAGTGCTGGGTCTTTCTGATCCACTGTGGGGAGCCAATGTACACATGTACACAAAGTCCGTTCAGATAACCACCAACTCCTCTGGCAGGCCGGCCCCAGTGCAGCCCAAGTGCTGTCCACTCCTATACGCAGCCCAAGATACGGAGCCTTTTCAGTTAAAACTTTGGAGTTGTCAACCTCTCCCCTGCCCCTTCCTTAATAGCATGGCTCTCTGAGGTTAATGTGGTGAAGTCCACTCAGTTAAGTCTATGAGCTGTTCAGTGCCGCTGGGTTGTTTTCTCTTCAGAATAACACAGCGGATGAAACCCACCCAAGCTGCTCCATACTCACAACCGCTGCTACACTCGAGCCCACTGGTGCAAACTACTATGTAAGTAAATGTTACAAAAAACTGGTGGTGATAATTTCACAACCACCCCCCAAAAGCTTTATTGATCTGACATTTCTTAAAAACAGACTGAAAATACAATAAAGCATTGTAATAAAATGAGCCTGTGATAGCCCCGAGGGGAAGCCCTGCTAGCTGAGCGCCTTGACTCTGGAGAGCCCCCCAAGGCTGCTGTCCATCAGCCACAGACAGAGGCTGGAACCCACACACCTGGGTGCCTCACCAGCCTCAGCACACCCAGTTCTGGGCTCGGGGTGTCTTAGTTACTAGCAGACACCAGGAACATTTTCATTCTAAATCAAAAGTGAATTCCTGTATTTGAGTGAGTGGAGAGAGAAACTTAGAAAGAAAAGGAAGCTTTGGAAAAGTGAAACAGCAACAACCAAATTTTGACTAGCATGACGATGCTGTCTACAGAGTGCTTTCCTCAGGAGCTTGAGCTGTAGGACGGGACTGGTGGTTGTGCCTACTTCCTGGACTGCTGTGAGGAATGTAGTTAAGGGGGTTAGAATGTGCAGGTCCCATCTACTGTGACAGCCATTGTTGTTACCGTAATTACTATCAACACCATGCCTAAAAATGACTGTCCAGGACCATAGAGAAACCCTCGCATATCTGGGTATCTATTGGCAATGTGGATTCATAGTGTCCAGCAGAGTCAACCTCCTCTTAACAGGAAACCACACACTGTGGTGTTGTCGTGAGTTTTCAATTCATTGGGGGGCTGCCACTCCTTAGCACAGGAAGATCAAAGAGCCAAGAAAGACCCTACCTTTCCAAGGAGAAAGGCGCTGGGCTCAGCCACAGAGCCTGGAAGGGTGGTGAGGGCACCCCACAGGCTTCTGTTTACATGGTACATTTTTGTCACAAGATTTTCAAAGGTTTGGTCTAGGCCGCTCTTCCTGGGAAGGTTTTCCTCTCAGTGCTCCATGACAATATTCCACTTCCCGAGAGGAATCGCCTAGAAGTCCTGGGCCAAGAGTTCCCAGCCGCTGAGAACAAGGGATGTGACTCATAGCAGCTTGGCCGCTGGACACTCAGGAGGGTCGGTTGTGGGGCATGAGAGAAAAGTCCCACGGAGCTGCTGTTCCTGTTTGCAAATGCGCTGCCCATCTGACTCCCCACCACAGTCTTCCCTTTCTTTGCCAGAAGAACCCCAAGGTGGCTTTTCTCCCTTACCTGGTCTAGGGCATAAAGAGAGCCAGAGATGGTCCATTTTATCACAAGGACAGAATGCAACCCCAGGTAACAATCCCACCACCTCCTAATACAGTCATTCCTTTCTATGTGACATTTTCTTTGGGTATAATGTCCCCTTTTAATGCTGCTGAGAAAGCTGGCTTCAGAGATCCTCTGTACAACTGTTTACCGAAAGGGGCTCATCCTCCCCAGGACACCCTCACATCAAGTAGGCACGAAATACATGAGCAGGGAACCGGCTTAACTTTCAAATAAGGCAGTAGTTTGTCCTTGGCTGCTCCTTTTAAAAGTAAGGGTCTGCAGAGTAGCCAGACTCTTCTTCAGATAGGAGATATGGGGGCCTACGAGTCTGCTTTAGAGATAGAAAACAGGTCAAATCAAGATTCTTTTCAAGAAACCACAGGCATGAGGCTCCGGAGACTGGAGACTTCCCACATCTAAAGCCTCACTGGGGGGCTGCGGCTGAAGCTCTGCCAGGGCAGGCGAGCCCCGGCAAAGCCCCATCCACCAGAGTCGGCGCAATCAAAGCCAGCAATTACGCTCAGGCTGCGGCTCGGCTTCAAAGGAGCGCGGCCCAGCCTACATATGCTGAGGCTTGGGCTTCTCCGTCCCTCGTCCCTCCGCCTGCCGCGGTCCTGGCCTGCCCGTGGGTGTCACCTCACAGGCCATTTGTGCGGGACCCTCCCTTCCAGCCCAAAACTTCTCATGGCCAAAAACTCAATCTTGACAAAGTATAGCACTTGTATAGGCCCAAGGCCAGCACAAGGGTTAAGCATTTGGCTGTTAAATGAGTGGTTGCTGGTTCAAACCCATCTCTCAGTTTCATGGGAGAAAGACATGGTAATGTGTCCCTGTGAAGATTAAATCCTGTAAGGCAGTTCTGTCTTCTCTATCACATGGGGACGACAAGAAGTAGAACCAACTTGATGGCACCCAACTGCCACCCAAAGGAGCCAGGCATGCAAACGGGCAGAACCACTTAGTAAGAGCCACAGAGGTGACAGGAACTCTAAAGATGGCTAGAGACCCTGGTTCTGAAAGACAAGCAGCACAAAAGGTGTTTTAGGGTTTCTACATTTGATTCAAAGATGTGACAGAAGAGAAGAGGGGATCTTACTGAAAGGTAATGCTTTTCCAGCCACAACTTAGCCGGCTGCGGCCCCAGCCCCCTCCCTCAGCCAGTGCTCTGGCTGGAGCAGCCCATTAAGTGACCTGAGGAAGAGGAAAGGAGGCTCAGGAGGGTGACAACCTGCTGCCTGCCTGTGGCCCAGGACATTCGGAAGTCTGCAGAAGCCAGGGAGCAGAGCTGGACTCCTCGTGGTATCATGTAATACTACTCCCTTATTTAGAACTGGTAAGACGCTCAAAGAGTGAGCTGGGATAAACACCATCCCCTCCCTCCTCCCTCCTCGGCTCACCTCCCACTCAAATGCTAGGAACATAAAGTAACAGCTTTAAAATGTTTTCAGTGCTGACATGAAATTTGAGGAGAGGACATTAAAGATTAGTTTTGTGAGAGGTGAAAACAGACATAGATTTTAATTGCTAAAATTGCCTCACAGCACACCACACACCTCATGCCAATTGCCTACATTTTTCTGCCTTGGGGAAAACTGACAAAAGCCTGTTATTTTAGGGCGTGAACTCTCCAGTTGCACAAGGTCGTGTGTGTGTGTGTGTGTGTGTGTGTGTGTGTGTGTGTGTGTATGTGTGTGTTGCACAGGAAGGGAAGCTCCCTTTCAGAGAAGGAACAAATGCGACCCAGCGAGAAGGGCCTCATCTGCGATGAGACACGTGGTCACACAGTGACCAGCAGAGGTGGCCCAGCACCCAGACCCTGTTCCCTGTGCCACAGCCTTCATCACTTTGAGAAGGCCTTGTCTGTAAGAGGCTGACGGGAAGGAAACAAAGAAAATCCACATCCGCTGACTGAACACTGGTGTACCAGGCTCTGGAACTCCCAATTTACAAGCACCCTTCCACACAGTCACCATAAAACCCCGCATATTTCCCCCATTTACAGAACTGGAAACTGAGGCTGCATGAGTTCAAATGACCTGCCTAAGGTCATCCAACCAATAGGCATCAGAATTAGCTCATGATCATCAAACACATGCTCTCTCCAGCACCTTAAAAACACCCAAAACCACTCCACTAAGTTGACTTTAACACTCAGCAACTTTACAACAGAGAGTAGAACTGCCCCCAGGACTTCCAAGGCTGTAATTCTTAGAGAAGCATACTGTTCCCTAGTTCTCCCATAGAGGAGTTCGTTGGCTTTGAACCACCAACCTTCTGGTTAGCAACCCAGTGCTTGTAGCTTATACAGCTACACCAGGATACCTCAGAGACTCAAATGATCAGTTCTCTATCTACCCCTGCCTTTCCCATCCAACCGCACTGTTTTCACCGTAGAGGTGGCCTAAGCTAGAACACTGCAAGACACCCCCCAGACACTATGTCTCAGTGACCTGCAGGCTCACGAGGAAAGCTGAGAGCCCAAGGCAGAAATTAACACAAAATGTAAGTCTCCCTCAAGGCTCAGCGTACACAAGCCATGTTCTAGTCTTCAGCAGCAAATGTTATCTAGTATTAAAGAAGAAACAGGGGGGAGAGCATGTGATTAGAAAAGTTAGAACAGAATCTCATTTTTCAATGAAATTAGCCCTTAGTCTGAGCACTCAGGTCCGGCTCCTAACCCAGAGTTCTGGGGGGAAGGAGATTCTTAGAACCTGGAGAAGCCAGGGGCAAGGCCAGGGCTTACTTAGATGGGCCATTAATTCCGTCCCTGGAGTCAGGGTCCACTGGGTGTCTCTGCACCTATGTGGCTCTTGCCCTGGAGTTGCTATTATTCCGTGTACACGGAGATCGGTTAAATGAGACTTTGGAAATGTCAAAATGCTTCTAAGATAAGCCTGTAATTACTAATAAATATATTATTCAAGGGGAATTTTTAGTTTTTATCAGTATCTTTATTTCTTTTCTCGGTAAGTTCTCTTTGTGAAAATATACAGTTAAAACAGAGTCAGAACGTGATGGGCCTGCCTTATTCTTC